CAGGGTGCATGAATGTCCCCATCCAACATACTGTGGAGCTGCTGACAGTCTCCTCCTTGATTTCAGTAGACTTTGGATCAGTTGTAGTTGAACAAAGTACCTTAAGGAACAACTCTGGTGTTAGCAGAGCATTTTCTGCTCTATTATTCACATGGGTTTTGAAATAATGCCCACTGAAATCAATGGCCCTCTTTTCATTAACTACAGTTGGCTTTGGATCAGGGCTGGGAAGATGCATATCTTCCAGAAATGCCATCAGATGATTTCTTTAAAAAGCATTGAACAAAGATATACGACCGCATGGGCTGATCGGGGGGAAGAAAGTCCTATCTCTCTTTTATATGGTTGGCTTCCTGCTCATATCAGCAATAACTTAGATAATTACATTGCTTAGTTCAGTAGCTGGAAGAGGCACGATCAACAAGCTGACTCTACTATGATGTCAGATATATTAGTGTTCTGGGGTAGGTTTTTTTGTTTTTTGTGTGTGTGTGTGAAAAGCTGTATAACTGGACACTGTCTTTTTCACCCCAGGCTAACTTCTTGTTAGAGGACCATACCAAAGACATTTAAAATCACATTATGAATGCCAGCATAGTTAGAATGTTTATATGGCGTACGGTGATGCTCAGCGGCAGCAGACGAATGAAATTCAGCACAATAATAGTATCAGCCCCCCCTTGAATTGAATGAACAGTTCAGTGGTATAATTTAGTAAAATGTAAGTAAAAGCTCAGATATATTAACGAGCAGATCAAGTCCATAACTGGACACACTTTTTACATTCAGCCTTGAATAACCGATCTCTGTACTGTCCCTGCAGGGTCTTTGAATTTTTGCTCGCATGAGGCAGAAGCAGTTTTATTAAATCATGCTACTGAAATGCTCATCTTACTATTGACTCCCATTTTGTTTTGTTTTGTTTTATTAATATTTGTGACTGAATCACTCCTCTGAAAGGTGAAAGAGATCACAGAAAGTGTTCTGGGTTTTTTCATCTCTAACTCACATGTTTTTTGCTGTTGGTGACATCTCTCAAACCAGAGAGGCTGAGATAGGGAATATCCACTGCTTGTGCTTAAACTGCTTGTCCTAGAAATGCCATGAAGTTTCCTTCTCTGCCACATTCTTTGCATCTGCCTCTTCTTTTCCCTTTATTTTTTCAAGATGCCATTTCTAAACAAACAGTTTCGCTTCTATTCTTTCATACAAGTTTTTCCTCCTTGTCCCCTGAATTACAACAATGTGTAATGGCTTTATCTGAGAATCAGGGTTAGAACAAAGTCACTATAAGTCCCTTCAGGATCAGGCTCTGGCAGGACAAAGACAGAGAGACCAGGATAGAAAACATCATCTTCTAATTCGCAATGGGCAGGGGTTTCATTTTCTAAATAAACTGATGTCAGGATATTCTTTGACTCTGGTTCAATCAGGAATAAACCCCATGGTAAAATGCAGCCCAGCTCTGTGGTTCTGTTCTGGATATGTATGTGGTTCTTTGGGAAGCAGAGCCCTAGCTCTGTTACCAACCTCAAGGGATAAAACTCGAGAAGACAAAGCAGAATCCCTCAAAATGTAAGAGTGCAAGGGAAGCCTGACAGTGAGCAGGATATCAAAATACTTTTGAGATGAGAAGACCCAGTTCTCCTTCAGCTCTTTTTTTTCAAAGCTGATTTTTATAAGCATATGTTTCCCTAAGAGTGTTTACTTATTGTTCAAAAGTGGAGAGGCTTTGCCATGGATGCTCACTGACCTACAACTCTATACCAACCCTCCTGAAAAAGCCATATCGAAGCTGAAGGTTATAAAGAGCTTGTGTCTGTCTTCTGCCTATTGTTTGTTCAGCTGTGAGGTGGTATGAATAGCTTAGTACTATGCCTGTATTTTAAGCGTAGAGAGCTCACTTTAACATTTACCAGCACGCTTTTCAGCCTGGATACCATTCCCACATCATGTTTGCATGTAGCCAGAATGATTCACCTCTTTTTTTCCCATTAAACTATTAAAAACAGGGCCTCAGACACAGAGTCCGCACTTTGGTAATAAACTCGGATGTGATAAGGATTTGTCAGTTCTTTTTGCAATATCACTTAATACATCTAAACGTGTCACAAGGGAATCCCAAAGTGATGTTTGTGAGATAAAAAGAAAAAAAGGAAGTATTTTTAAAGGAGGTGCATTGACTTAGGCCACTTTGAAGAAAATTATTCCCACGTGATAGGCAGAACTAAAAATAATAGTAATTAAAAAATCCACATTGGCCATTTGGAAATAGGGTCAACTAAACAGAATTTCTTATTCTTGGAACACTCTGAAGCCTAAACTTTCCCACTTTTGGCTCCTTTTTGACCCTTTGTCCTGGAAGAGGAAATAGATGTTGATCAGCTGCTGTAATCTCAAACTGGGCTCAGTCTCACAGTGACAGACTGAGGTGGGAAAGAAACCAGTGTGGAAAACTGAAAATGCTTTATCTTCAAACTTTCTTCGAATACCCTTAAAGACTTCCTTGCCATGATATGAGTCCTGTTGATGTGAATGGGGCAATTTTCTCTCACTGATATATCCATGCATAAAGTAGTTGCAAGTTAAGAGGCTTGGTTCAATTTTTCATGCTATAAAAATGGATAAAATGATGTATTTTGGCCAGAATGCAAGAATAATATTGAACCACAAATGTGCATTAAAGCCACCACAGGTTGCAATTACAGATTTTAAGCAGATGTTCTGATTTGATTTGGGGTTGGTTTTTTCCCCACTATTTTTAGCCTAAACGACTGTTCTGAGACACCTTTCAGCATTCATAACGCAGCAATGAGCTCTTGGAAGTGTTTTGGCAAAGAGTGCAGAGGAATGACACCTTAGAGAGGCAGCTCTCAGACCTGGTCACACAGGGAGTCGTTCTGCTGGGGCAGAAGTCACGCGTGCACCAAGGGAACCGCATCCACGAGGCTCCCCATCACGCCGCATCCGCTGCCTGTCCAGCCAGCGTCGGTCCATCGCGCCGCCGTCCTGCTGACTGACACCAGCGGGTGCTCTGCTCCTTTTATCCTATCCTCATGTGGGTTAGCAGCTGGCAAAGACTGTTTTTAATAATGTATTTATAAAACTTTGCAGCCGTGCAAGCACAGACACAGAGAAAGGACGTTTTGAGCTCTCAGCGCTGGAAGCGCATGGCAAATCTGGTTTCCTGTCTCTTGCTGCTGCCACTAACCTGCTCTCCATCACCAGTGCCAGAAAACAATGTTTCCTAAAAAAAAAAAAAATACATGGTAGGAAAAACTTTGGGCTGAAGGCTCCCATAGCTATTTTAAGTAATGCTTGACCTGATCCCTCTGCGAGCGGCTGCCTGATCGGTATTTCAGTAATGTACTTATTTAAAAGGAAATTCTAACTGCTGTAGGGCACGGTGATATTTTCATGCCCTTTTTACCCTGCAACCTTTTCCAGCTCACTCAAACCTGAGCACCTCACCGTCTCATAGGGACACCGTCTGGCTGAGGTGTAAATTACAGCACCTGCTTGTGCCCTTTGCATTTAGGGATGGTACTTGAATAAGCATGTTTTTGTTTTTTTTTTATGTTTTAATTCTTTCTTGCATTTTGTGTTCCACTGCTGACAGATATTTCCAAATTTATTCGCAGGGTGCAGGTTTTATTAGATATATTGCTTTCCTCCTTGTCTGCATATGATATGGACTTTTGAAAATATAGGAGCCTGTATTTTGTCCTAGGAATAAGGATTTACCGCTACGTCTTGACAACTACATAAGTTTTTCCCCTTTTTTATTTCCTAAACCAGCATGACATGCACTTTATTTCTGAGATACATGGTAGAGATAGGCCCAACATTTGACTGATCAAGACTGGTTTTGAACAAATGCTGACACCACCATTCATTTTGTCTGTGATCCCCACAGAACCCTATTGCTTTGAAAAGAAATATCCTAGAATGCATAATCGACCCTGCAGCAATGATCTACAACATACAGTGTCCCCTTCATGCCTCTTTTACCCAGCCATCAACAGCGAGAAGCTGATGTGCATCTTAAAAGACAGAGAAAAAGCAGAAACTCCCTAAGAAAATGAACAAAGAAATCTGTGCATTAAAGAGGAAAAGATGGATCCAGGAGCTGGGAGAAAGTTTTCTAAAATGATTCCTTAAGCAGTAAACAGCTGCAGAGTGAAAAGTGTTTTCCCCTGTGTATGTGTACATAGTATGTAGAACTGCATTGATTTTATGGTCTAACAAAAAAAATGAAACAACAACAATAAGTAAATAATAAAATTTTAAAAAAATCTAGATCCTGATCTAGTGTTAGAAAATGTAGCTAAACTTTTTAACAGCCCTGCCACTTTGCCTGGCTTGTTACAATACCATCTGACTTCAGCACCTTCCATCAAGGTAAACTCAAACCAATGACCTTAAATCGAGTATCATCCACCCGAGCTTTTGCACTCCTTTAAACTAAGTAGTTGAAAGATGTGTTTTGAAGCTGCTGAGTTTACTCCTATGGAGAAGGACTGATAGCTACAAATATGTATATGAAAACAGCCACGTATTTTTAGTGTTTGTCATTTCTGGGACTCCGGAACCAAAAGCAGCAATGAGTGAAGTGACAACTGGTTGTGTGTGATTTGCAGTGGTTTGTATCTCGGCTCCGCGTTGTGTATCTCCTAATGATGAATGCGTGGGAGGGCCAGGTCAGGAATGGTTTCCACTCCAGTGCGTTGATTGTGTGGTTGGCAGTGGGCTCAATTAAAGTATAATAATCTGGTAATCTCTCTCCTTTTTCTATTCAGGCTGCTGCACACTGAATAGAGCCAGTGAAAGGCTATAGCTTTTGAAAAGTAGGCGAACTCCTGCCTCTTTGTCTGAGCAGTTTGTGCCTAGTCAAATAAAATGACAGGCAGAAGAGACAACTCCCCAAAACCTTGCTTCCATGACTTGCATCATTACTTCTGTTTGTGTTTCTGTGAGATAACACTTGCTCTTTACTTTAGGTTACGGATTGGATTTCTAGCAAGCTTCTCACCACAGTGAAAAGACAAGCTGATGTGAGAAAGGAGCTATGTCCATTACGGGAAGATGCCGCGTGCCCCATCTCCTGGTTCTTCTCACACTCGTGTTCGGTGGGGAGCGAATCGAGGCACAAAGAGCAGGTACGTGCCGCTCGTGCTAAGTAGCTGCTGGGGCTTTTACGTGGCTGAGAAACTATCATTGCTGGCAGGAAAACGATATAAACCCCAGGCAAGACATTTTCTGTTGAAAAGATGTAAAATAGACCTTAGGGATGGAGATAGCTCAGGGATCGAGGCTATGATTTACCTAGGGTCTCTGGTTCTGCTGCGGGCTTAGAAAGGTTAGCTCAGCTGCTCAGAGCAAGGGGAGCAACATGCAGGTTACACTGGATATGCTTCATCTGCCCCATGCTGGCACGGAGATCACTTCTTCCATTGCCTTCGGTGGGTTTCACGTTAGATCTGGTGAATCTTCTATCCATCTGGGACTTCCCTAGTGAGCTAAACAGGGCCAGGGCACTGTTCATACCCTCTCTTGGCTCATATTGTCTAGTTGCTAGCATGGTCACTGGCATGGCTTTTGGCCTGTGCTGATGAGCACCCTCTCCCAGATGCCACTGAATGCATTAGAGGATGGTGCAGCTCAGTGACTGTTCCTATGGGCAATCTTGACTAGGACATGTTGTTTTTTGGGCGATAGAAGGAAGAGTTGAGGTATCTGGCTGTGAATGATGCTACACCTCGAGGACAGAAAATGTTTGTAGACCTACACAGTTTATTGGTACAAAAGCCCAAAGGTACTTTGAGATGGAGACTTTTTCTAGGAAAGATGCTATTCAGTAGCCTTGGGTAATTTATAAAGAACAAAATTAGTTTTTTAGACCTTCTCTCAGTCTAAGGAATGGCTGCTTTGCAGTTTTATGTGACCTATATAAGGTTTTTTGGGTAAAGTTTAACAGGAATAAGTACTTAGTAACAAAACAAAGTGAAATCTCATCTTTTTTTCTGCGTGTGGATCAGTCAAAGGAAGGATATGGTGGTACCATTTATATGTTCGTCTGTGATTACTTTAAATAATTTTGGGCTTATGGCTTGTTTGTGAACTGTTTTTAATGGCAATATTACAAAACGGTTGACTCAGTGCCTGAGTGGATGAATACAACTCCTGGAATTATGCTTCCAGAGAGTACTCCTGTAATTACAAACCTGAAAGTTCACTTTCTATGAATTATCTCCCATATTACCTTAATGTTAACTGTTTCTGCCAGTAAACAAGATTATTATAGCATTCTTGGAAAACAATTTTGTCCAGCAGTGGATATTACTGTGTTAAAAATGCAGATTAATATTTACTAAAAGCTTTTCAGCAGCTTTTCATCTCACTGCCATCAGGTCTGTAAGCAAAGAATCACTGACTCTAAGAAAATGATCCTGAAAGACCATCTTTTTCTATCCTGCATACTGCCTGAATAGGCATCACTTTTTAAACCTTAACCCCCCCTTGTTTTAAGGCTCATTGCCCTTGAACACCATCAGGATTCATTCTCTCGGTTCGATTTGGTTTTTAATTGCAGTCATCTCACCTGCTGAGAGTTGTTAAAATAAGCAACAGGAAGGTCTGTACCTTGTGGGTTTTATACTGAAACCTTTATATTCTCTGGTTAGTCTCACTTAATTAATATTCTTTTAGGCAGAATAGATTAATATAATAATGAAGGGGAGGGGCAGAGTGGAGATTTCTTCCTTACCTTTTACTGTTATATATTATCCTTTATATTCTGCAAAAATAAATCAGAACTAGACTTGGAAGTCTAGCCGATATACACAGAAGTAATGATGTAACTTACATCTGATAACATCAAATGATATATTCAGTCTTCTCCACACTCTGATTACCTTCAAGAGAATTACTGTGTGTTTCCAGCCAGACTTTCTTGCTCTGGAATTAGGGAAAAGTGTTCCCTCAGTCACAAAATGATGTCACAGAACATGATACGATGTGGATAGGTTGTTTCCAATGTGATCACATGTAGGTGGGTTGTTTCCAACATTATCCCAATCCCATGTCCATAGTTGGTTTCCATAGACACCGAAGGAACTGCAGTGCTGGGGTTGGGTCTCTGGGATGTGCCCTGCTATGGAAATTAACACAGCAACAGATGATGCTCATTTTTCATCGTCACGCACAACACACTAGGTGTGTGTTCAACCACTCTCACAGCCATCACACAATACCATGAGCATTGCCCTACAGCATTATAATGTCTACCTAAAACGCTTTTACTCTTATCTGAAGGCAAGTCCTCTTCATGTGGCTGAGCCACCAACACTCTCCATTCCAGTGCAGTGGGCTGTTCTGGGATTCCTGTCCTTTTCAGGGCAGGTGCACAGATCCAGGATGATCAAAAGCACCAGAGCTAATTTATGAACCATACGGTCACATTTGGGTGTGGGAGAAGACTTTGTGACCTTCCTGTAGGCTCAAATGTGGAACTCAGTGAGGAAATACGGCAAAAGCATCATTCCTCCCAGGTTTGGGTAGCACGATTCATATTTCTGTTCACTGAGCTGGCTGTCAAGTGCTTGACTGGATGAACTGTATATGATACCTCCATAGTCTTTGGTGTGTTCCAGGGGAAAACATCCTAGTTCTCAGCTGACATCCACATGGGGTATGTTTACATCAGTGCTTTAGCTCTGGTCGGGAGTGCAGCGAGGACAGACTACTTCCTAAGGGATGGGGAGCCAGGAGCTGGGAGTCTCCCTGGGCTGGCAGGGCAGGGTCTCACCAGCCACAGCCTGTCCTACTGCCCCCATCCAGGGAGCAGGGAAGGCTGGGGGATGGCAGCCAGGCTCAATGGACAGTCCATATTCCCAGACAAGCTCATAGAGATGTAGCAGATCCAAGATCAAGCCAGGCACACGAGTCAGCAAGTTAAGGTCTGGATCATGTTTAAAGGCAGCAGCCAGGTTCAGCCATTCTCCAGGCGAGAATGGCTGAACCAAGAGGTGTGGCAGGTCCAAGGTCTTAGTCATTGATGGACATCCAGTTGCTGGGACCTGCCTGGAACTAGTCTGATGTGAAAACATGCAAACCATACAGTGGGATTGTCACTTTTTAATGCTAAACTGTCCTCGGTGGACATACCCTGGAGTTACATATTTTCAAAAATACTCTCAGATTTTCTGACCAAGGAGGGTAACTTGGTCAGTCCAGGTCAGAGCCCAGAGGAGGTTATTAACATGGTCATAGTGGGAATAGTTGGGGGAATTGGGGTCCTTCAGTGAAACAGGAGTAGACAGAACAGATCTGCTCTCAGTATGTGTGGGTAGATGTGGGCTGCCAGCTCAGATCCTGGTAAAGCAGCAGGGTTTAAAGGCAATTGCCAGCAGTTTAGGGGACAGATATAACATCTCCAGTTCAGTGGGACATGGAAGAGCCCCGTTACTCTGAGAGAAATAAAGTGGCACAGGCACTGGTATGGACCAGCTCTCTGTCTTGTATCATGGTATGTGTTCTCCACATGGTTGGTCAAATTAGCCTTTTACCATGGGTTCAAACAAGCACTTGTACTTTGTGAGACAGTGTGAGACAAGAACTACTGGAGAAACAATGGTTGGTGGTTGTGACCATAGATAAATTGACTTTGTAGAGCAGCTTTCAAACATGAAACTCATAGTTTGTTAGGGACTATGGTCTATAATAGTGAATTAACTAAACATATGTTTATATACATTTTGTCCAGTTGGGGCATTACATTGATAAATCTTTGGCACCTGTGAGACATTTATGAATACACCACCTCTTGGCTTGCATATATTCAGAAAGTGCTAGAAAACATCTCCTGGGAGATCTACTTTCTTGGCAAGCGGCTGACAAATATATGGCCAGTCTGGCTTCCCAGGGCATGCAAGCTGCAATTAAAATACATTTGCCTTTTGGATTACACAGGCCTCAGATTACAAATATCATGGCTGGAGCCAAAAGGGTGGTTGTGGAGATAAGTGAACTTTTCCCTTACAAAGCAACTGCCCTTTGTTGTCAAGGAAGCCATCCCAGTATTCGGTGAGTCATCCTTTAGTCAATAGTCAATGGCAGAGAGCCTCAAAATCAAAATAATCTTGTTATAAACTTGTTTCACCAAGATATCATGCTGAGCAAAAGAACTGCTTCTAGCTAAGCATAAATAAATCATAATGTTAATGCAAAAAGAAACATGAAAGCTTCACTGCTCATGGTCAGGATTGACATAGACAGGGTCAGGGTAGGTCTCTTGATCCACCAAGGTCATTTTAGAGTGTTGCCTGAGCAAAGGCACTGCAATGAAGTTTGAGAAAAATAGGTTCATATGCATGCAGATGGTGTAGGTGAAAGATTCAGCAGAGGCAGTTAGTAGTGCTGGAAGAGAAAGGGTTTGCATTTCAAAGCGAAGCGTGTGCTGATCTACTGTAGATGTCCTGAAACAGATGAGGTGAATCACAAGGAAGAAAGGCTGAGAATCTGCACTTTCTCTGCAGGATAGGGAGAGGGTTTGCTGCCTCCTCCAAATAGCTCACTAGAGACCTATGCCTAGGGAATATTTAATATGTCTGATACTCATCTTTCAGCTTCCCTTAGTGATATTTTCTGCCACTCTTGCAGGTTGCAAGAATGTTCACTATGACCTTGTCTTCATCTTGGATGCCTCCTCCAGTGTCGGAAAAGAAGATTTTGAGAAAGTTCGGCAGTGGGTGTCTAATTTGGTGGAAACTTTTGAGATTGGCCCAGACAAAACCCGTGTAGGTGTGGTGCGATACAGTGATCGTCCAACCACAGAGTTTGACCTGGGAAAATACAAAACCCGTGAGGAGATCAAAGAGGCTGCACGAAAAATTAAGTATTATGGAGGTAATACAAACACTGGAGATGCTCTGAGATACATCAACACCTACAGTTTTTCCAAAGAAGCTGGTGGGAGACTTAGTGATCGAAGTGTTAAAAAAGTAGCTATCCTTCTGACTGATGGAAGGAGCCAGGATTATGTCTTGGATCCAGCCACTGCAGCCCATCAGGCTGGGATTAGGATCTTTGCTGTGGGTGTTGGCGAAGCCTTAAAAGAGGAACTTGATGAGATTGCTTCAGAGCCTAAGTCTGCTCATGTGTTTCATGTCTCCGATTACAACGCCATTGATAAAATTCGGGGGAAGCTGAGAAGACGTCTCTGTGAAAGTAAGTAGACCTCCCAGTTTTTCTACACAATTAGAATTATAATAGGTTCAGTTAGCATATAGATATGAAAAGCTGTGATTGTTTTCTTTTGTCCTTATAATTCTATGCTGATAATTCTTTATTTTAGTGTCTTCCACTCTGTTCCACTCTGTAAGAAGTCATTTTACTACCTGGAGCATGATGAAGTGATCACTTCTGGGTTCTTCTGCTCAAGTCAGTATTAACTATAGGTCAGCTTCTAGTGGTCAACTAGAGACCAAAAAGTGAACTCCCTTTTGGTTCTGATATGGTTCAGTTATTTCATAATATTTTTGACTACTGAATATGAAGGGTGATACCTTATTTATACCCAGAATTTGGTTTATTTCCCCTTATTTTCTGGCATTAGAGTGTGTAAAGAGTGCTATGGATGATGCAAAAGGATTCTTGTGCTTTTCTGCCTTTCAGCATTCCCTCTACTGACAACTAGTGTTCACTAGTGCTCTGGCTATCAACCACATAAACCTTGGTGATGTTTTGAATGACTTTTAATGGAGATCACTGTGTGAAATTCACACAGAATAAATGAACTTTGAATTTCCAGCAGCCTGGTGAAGAGGACTGTAATGGCATTATAGCTGGTATCCTGCAGCTCTTTAATGGGAACAGCAATCATATATCCCTTTCTTCTTCCACCACTAATAAATCCCTCTCTTGTTCTTGGTGACTACCAGTCACCTGGTTTTGCTGCTTTTTGTAGTGTGTGTTGTGGTTACTGAGAGTTCTTTGGGCCAACAGTCATGAGACATTGCTCTGGTTCCTAGGTCTGAACTTGAAAGACAGTAGATGACTCCCTGTGTGCTGCTGTAACACATTGCAGTGTCACAATGACGAGGTCTGCAGGCCAGGAACTAGTGTTACAGTCAGGTAGAGTAGAGTAGAGTAGAGTAGAGTAGAGTAGAGTAGAGTAGAGTAGAGTAGAGTAGAGTAGAGTAGAGTAGAGTAGAGTAGAGTAGAGTAGAGTAGAGTAGAGTAGAGTAGAATAGAATAGAATAGAATAGAATAGAATAGAATAGAATAGAATAGAATGTTTCAGTTGGAAGGGACCTACAGTGATCATCTAGACCAAAATTTAAAGCGTGTTATTAAGGGCATTGTCCAAATGCCTCTTAACCCCTGACATGGGGCATCAGCCACTTCTCTAGGAAGCCCGTTCCAGTGTTTGACCACCATCTCATTAAAGCAATGCTTCCTAATGTCCAGTCTAAACCTCCCCTGGCACAGCCTTCAACCATTGCCACGTGTCCTGTCACTGGATACCAGAGAGAAGAGATCAGGTGACAATAAGTTGTCTGAAAAAAAAGGAGACCTTGTAGGTGGTGTTGTGAGGCTCTTTTATTGCTCTCTCTGACCTCCATTTGCAAGAAAAAAGTGGTAACAAAATGTTCTGGGCCTATGTATGTTTTTTAAAGAGTGACTAGCTCAAGCAGGTATGAACAAGTTGACATTGCCAAACAATATCTAGGTGTGACTGCTTTTTTTGCAGCATGAATAAAAGTGAGTATGGATACTGTAATCCCAATACAAGTGAAAGTCATGGTGGAATTTGACTATAAACTATGCAGACCGAAGTAGCTGGGTCTTTTTGACCAAAATTCTTACATAATCATATGCATGACTGGGGTAGAATAAAAGATAAATCCTTCTGGTGGGCACATTCAATCAAATTAAACAACTTCCTACTGCAGCTGCTGAACTCCCAAAATATGAATTTCCTTTGAAATTCTATTATGTTCCTTTTCTAAAGCAAGTGTTTTCAGTGTTTTGTACCAGGTCTGTGTTTGTCACCTTCTCAAAAAATCATTTGCCCATCTGTCAGAGTATAATGTGATTTGTCTGTGGCTTTCTGAGCCCCTACTCTGTCCACGTGTGTGTGCATACCACTCCTCATTAGGTCATAAAGGATTACTGGGAGCATCCTTCATCGTGAGTGTGATAGCAGTCAGTCTCCAAGGTGTTTGCTTCCACCTGCACTAGTGGGTTCAGAGGGGAGAAATAAAGCCTCTAAAAGAGTAAGGGAAATGGAAAGGTTTAGTTTTATCAGATATAGGGAACTTTTAAGGAGAAAACAGGCTGCTAAATGGATTGATTTCCATGTTAGAACAAAGGGAATCAGACTACCGTCAATGAACATTAATAAGGAAGGGAGCAGAGAGGAGGCAATTAGCTGAACAAACATCGAGTGGATAGTATGCACATATTGAGGATCACTCAGGCAGAATAATGAGATGTAAGGAAGTTGACAGTGGCAAGGGGAATTGAGTATCCAGGTACTTGGGACACAGTGAATGTAGGTGGATTTGAAGAAGTGGATGCAGGATAGAAAGAAAGGTTATCAACTAAGGCAGCAAACACAGGTGCAATGGACTGACCTCCACAGCAACAGCAGTTAGAGAAGATAGGTCTTCCATAGGTGTTCCTGGGCGGTGTTCTTTAGATCCAAGGACTCCGTTGAGATGCTGTAACATCCCTAGATACCTCACTCCAGCCTTGACGTGGGACACCTTCTTCTCAGCGTCTGGCCTCAGGCCCTCTCACTGCAGTTGGAGCCCATTTTTGTCCTGTTTTCACTGGATATCAGAAAGAGTTTATTCTCTTCCTCTGTACACCAGTCTTTTCTGCTTGGAAGGACGTTACATATCTACCCTAAGTCTTTTCTTAGATTGAAAGCAGGGAAACTGCTCTTTGGCAGTCTTGTCATATTTATTTAATTTATTGTTTTGCATGCAAAATGTTTTTAATGGGCATGATGTTTAGATCAGATCTAAGCAAACAAGAAATTCTTGCTGTCACTGAAGCTGACTTACAATACAGGATGAGACAGCGAGAGCACTATCAGCAGAAGTATTAATGTAGAGATCAGATGGAGGTGGGAAAGGCCTGGCAGAGAACAGGACCAGTGTTTTCTAGTGTGTCTGCTACTTTTAAATTTCATGTTAACACAGTAGGAACAGGAAAGGAGTTCACTGTAAGGGCTATGCCTTACACATATTTAGAAGGTAAAACTTTTAATAGCTGTTGTAGTTTACTTTCTGTAATTTTAATATGACAGCACTGCATACAACAGGAACATACAAACCACTGAGTGGGTGGAGGACGTGATGAGGGCACATGCCAAACTGCTGCTTAGGTCGTGCACATTCTAAGCCAGAAGCATATATTGCCACAGCCATAGTAGTGTTTTAATAGACATGATCCTTTGTGAGCTCCTGGGAGACATACGAATCAAAGAGTGGAAATGGTAGAAAGTTTTTTTGTTGTATTGACCAATGATGAGTCTTCCAGTCCTTGTACTGCTGTACTACCGAAATGTGAAGAGTTGTGCAGGGAGCAAATACTGAATTTCATGCCAGCAGCTGTTCAGAATCACTTGTCTCTGGTCTCACTAGTCTGTCCTAGACTAGTCAGGACAGCAGCGAGTCATTCCATCTTGCTATATTTGACTGAATTTATTGCTAAGAACACGTCATTAAGTGCATTAATAGCATTTTAGCTCTCATTTGATCTTGTGGAAGCAAGCATAGCAGAATCGAAAAATAACATGTCTGCTCAGTGGGACATTGTGGCAGTGGGAGATATTTTTGCCAAACATATCCATTACATTCTGGACTATAGTTAGCAGGCAAAAATGGGTGATGCTTTCACAGGAAAGCAGGAGAGATGCATTCTGCTAAAAATTCCAGAGATTCTACATGCTTCCTAAATAGGGATTCTGCTTATATGTTGTAGAGATAACAACAGGCAGCTATGGAATATTAAAAACATACTAGCATCTGCTTTTGGTAGGTAAATAGTAGGTTTATGCTTGTCAAGGAGAGCCAATTTCTTCATTTTCAACCCAGATCTAATTTAAAGCTGGATTTGATAAGTTAGTGCATATACAAAGTTGTCAGCCTGGCTTGGATCTGGTAGCACTGGGGTTTAACACTATCATCTGACATTTAAACCTCAATGGAGGGAGACTTAATGGTGACCTAAACCACCCATACCTGCTCAGAGGTAATTGTTTCTTAAAGACACTGATTGCAGTGCTTTGGGTGCTATAATATTTGAGCTTATTCTGTTATCATTAAGCCAGGCAGGTGATAAGATACAGTTTGCAAAGCTAAGCAAAAATATTCTCAAAAAAACTTTCTCACTCTTTACTGGCTCCATAAAGCAGAAGCCCATGACTTGGCACCCTCAGAGTACACAGAGTACATGTGCGATTACTGAGCCTCTGCTCTACTGTAAAAGTCAGATTTCACAGCTAGAAAATAAATTTGGCTTTAGAGGTACAGTTACTACTAAGATTTGGGTTATTTTTTTTTGTTTTGGTTTGGTTTTTTGTTTGTTTGTTTGTTTTCCTACTAATAGTAATAGTAATACAAGCAGATATTCTCTAAGGAAGTACTACAGGAGTATTGTGCTCAGCATTGGACTGTGTCCAGTAGTGACTTCCATGTATAATGTAGCCCTTTCTACAGCCAGTTTTTAGTTGCCTGTGAGATTGATGAGATCCTTGCCATGATGAGTTCCTCTGCAAATGTGTGGAAGACCAAATGATTGTGTCATATGAATCTCAAATGCTTGGCAAACACAAGGAGATTAAATGTTTCAATGACTGATTGGAACTAATGGCTTGTCATTGATTTCAGTTGATATTATGAGGCCTGTGATAAAATATAAAAGTGGTCACATGTTCAGATGATTCATAACATTTATTTTTCTATTTGCACATGTCTTTGTTGACTTTGGCTTTTGCATGCAGTGCATAAAATATAAGTCTTATGCTACCACTGTTCTGTTTCTGATGCTTCCAGCGTTCAAGGCAACACCTTGAACACCATTTAAAAGAATAGTCTAAAGGCTTCAGAAATTTCTTTATTTGAAGTCAGCTTTGCTCAGGTTCATGGTATGTTCACAGAACAACAGCAAGGTGTTTTTTCTCGGCCTTTAATATTAAAAATATCTCATGCACA